GCCCCGTGCACAGCCCCCGCGGCTCAGTCACATCCCCCAGCACGGGACGTGGCCAGGGCCCGATCCCCGCCACCGCACACCGAAACGGGGACCAGGTCCTGCTCCCACCTTGGGGACGGCCACAACGGGGATGTGGCCGCAGCCCTGGGGGCCAGGCCCTTGTCCCTGCTTGGGGACGGCCACTGAAAGGGGGACACAGCCCTGGGGCCACCCGCTGCTGCTAACGTAGAGCCTCTGCCTATTAACGCGTCCTGCCCCGGGGCTGGGGCTGTAGGGCCTCCTAACCCTCGCTGCACTGAGGCCAGGTTACGTATACATATATATATATATATATATATAGTTCCACTAATATATATATACACACATATTATATATATATATAAATGGGGAAGAAACGTTTTACGCACTGGAAAGACTTGCTCACTAAAGGCCCTGAGGCTGCCGGGGGCAACGTGGGCTTTTTCCTGTGTTGAAGGGAAAAAAAAAGAGAATTACTAAATAAAAGTTTTATTCGTGGTCAGGCTCTACTGCGCCGGGGACAGGGGTGACACGAGGAGGGGACCAAGGGGCTTCCCTGGCCATAGGGAGGCAGAGGGGCTGTCCCCGCGTGTCACTGCTGCCAGGATCAGCATTCCCAAGCCGTGTCCCCCCTGCCAGGTAAGGGGACGGGCGCAGGGACACAGGTTTGTTTATTGCCACCAACCAGGGTCATCGCACAAGTGGTTACGAGTATTTTGAGAGGAAAGTGTCCGGCGCCCCCCTCGTGCCCTGAGAGCGCCCATCGTGGGACACGGGGTGACACCAGCGTCCCAGGGCAGGTCCATCCTCTCCAAGGAGCATCTCGGACCATGGCAGGGGGGACCAAGGAGCCCCCGGGGCAAGAACAGGGTCCCCACGGGGGCCGCTGGGGACGAAAAAGGCAGGACCGGCCCCTCCGCGTCCCAGCCAGGACGGGGATCCCACTCGGAAAGGGACTAAGACACTGGGGCGCCGGCCGGGAGATGGGACCTACCCTGAAAAATCGAGGGGCTCTGAAAAGGCACCGTGTGACACTTAAAAAAAAACAAATTAAAATCATGGCTTCGCTACAGTAATTCGGAAACATTTACAGCAGTCCTCGGGGCGGGACGAGCGGCTCCTCACACCAGGAAGGACGACGTCTGTTTGAACTCTCCCTGCAGC